CCAGTGCGCCACCGGGCCGGCCCAGAAAGGTGCTTTTTCAAAATGGCTGTGCACCCGAGGGTTCGGATCCCACATACAGACCGGTTCCCGCTCACTGGCTGAGCGAGGCGCGGGAGCAACGCCGAGGTTTGCAATCCCGTTGCCGGTCCCAGGTCCGGTACGGGGGCAATACTGAGGGTTGCGATCCGTTGCTGGACACGGAAAAAAGACAAAAAGACAAAAAAAAAAAAAAATACCAGTAAAAGTTTTTAATATTTTGCTTGCCAGGTTCTGCCCATGCCTCTTAACATTCTTGTTTCAGTTATTTCTGGATGTTGAAAGAGACAAATCTGTTTCTAATCGTAGCCAGTTCCATAAGTACGTGTTGAATGATGCATGTGTGGTAGGAAGGTTAGTTGTTATCTCCATTTCACAGATCAGAACACTGAGTCTTGGGAGGGTGTGCATCTCCCTCCAAGGTCCTGTGATGTCTGACTGCAGGAACTCAAGTTTTCTCCCTCAGAATACAGAGTTAAGGCCTTCGGAAATCCATTCTTATGGCTCAGGTAGGGCATCTCCTGCCACCCAGCCTCCCTTATCTGCAACATGGGAGCAGACACAGCCCATGCATGACAGCATCAGTGCCGAGGAGCAGGAATGTCATTTCACTTGCTCACTGGCTTCTCTCTTGCCGAGGCTCCAGAGCAGCAAACTACTTTGTTATAAAACACAGACATGCCAGAGAAGAGACAGTGTGTTTCCATGTGGCCTGATTTCTGTTGATGGAGCTGACTAAGGAACAGTGCTGTCGCTCTCTGAGCCTCACCTGTGCACAAAGTGGCCGCTACCAAGGGCGGGGAGGAATGAGCACCGCATTCTGGGCACACAGAATCGCATTGGCATCAGGAGGTGGAGTCTGCGGCAGGGGCTGGAGGGAGCCTTGGTTAAAGAAAAAAATCAATGGTCCTTATTTAAGGCTGTCACTGTAAATGTGAGGCCTTCCCACTTCCCTGGAAACTGAGCACAGCCCTGGCTCTGCTGGTGGACATTTGTCCTGCAGCAAATGTGGCATTGGCCTCAGCACTGCCCTGGAGGGAAGGGACCCCGGCGAGCACACGGGGGCTCCCGCCCATTGAGAGCAGGCCCTGCCTCTTCCTCCACCCCCCCCAGCCTTCACACACTGCCAATCCCACCCCCCCGAGCCTTCAGACACCACTGTTCAGCCATGTGACACTGCCAATGTTAGACTGTTCTCAACCTGCAAAAGTGGTGGTTTCAAGTGGTTCAACTCCAACTCACTTGGCTTAAGCTCAGCACTCTCAGCAGGTCCCAGACCTGGGGCTCTGGCCACCTGCACCCATTCACCACTCCATACTCCCTGAAGCCACTTGCTGCAGCTGGGCCTCCCACAGATGCTGTCCAGCCACTTGGCCCAAACCAAGCTCATCCTCCAGGGGCCTGACCACTCCTCTCAGCATGTGTTTATGGAAATTCTTGCAGTGGCCTCTGCCCTGGCTCCACCTGCTGTGTCCTCCTCACACCCCGACCCCACGGGAGTGATCGTTCTGAAATGGGGCTCTGCCAGTTGTCACTTCCCCACGTACCACATGCTCACAGTCCTGCCCTTGACCACAGCAGCCGACCCTCACCAGGAGTCACCAGTGCCCGGCATAGGCAGTGACAGATGTAACTCCCATGGCTTCTCAGTGCATGCCCCTGAGGGTGAGCCTGCCTCCCAGAAAAGTGCGGCAGCTGGGCAGGTCTGCCTGACTGAAACCCACACCTTCCATGATGGGCCCCTCCACATCTCACAGCACACCCTCCTGCACATCCTTCACAGCCCTTCCTCTTCCAGGAAGCCCTCCCCGACTACCCCAATGACCAAGTCTGTGCCCTGCTCAGAACACCCTGTTTCCCCCAATGGAGACACCCACAATGCTCCACCAAAATGATCTCCAGGGTTTACACTTCCTACTCCCCGATGACACTGTGGCTCTTCAAACCCATATTCATCACTGTACCCCTCAGTGCCCAGCATGCTGGCTAGAGACACAGTTTACATTCCTGAGTGGGTTTCCCCTGGCCAGGCATTATTCTAGGCACTTTGTCCATATGATACTCAAAACCGCCCTATCTTTATTATATCCCAGACACCAACGCTCAGAGAGGACCAGGCACTTGCCTGAGGAAGCACAGCTACTTGGTGGCTTTCCATGGGTTTAGCTCTTGAATCCTTACCACTGCCCTGTGAGATGCATAGGGTCATCATACCCACTTGATAGATGAGGAAACTGAGGCTCAAAGACAGCAGGGCCAGGACATAGGCACACCAGCTCAGAGCCCTGTCCTGGCCCTGCCAACTGTGCCCTGCCCATCATGCCTGCAAGGTTCTGGCTTCCCCCAGGCCCTCCCAGAGCCAGTTACCTCCAGGCCCCCAGAGGCTCCAGTCATTGCTGGCAGGGCTTGTCCCCACCTTGTGCGTCACGGTGGTAGCAGCTTTAGGCTGAGGAGTGGCTGGTTGGACCCTGGATCCTGAATGGTATGAGGGGTGTCAGGGCATTGGTTTAAAGTGACATTTCCACCCAAGCCCACCTGTGTGTTTCTAAGAATCAGCCCCCCTTCCGGGGCGAGCAGCTATCTCCTCCCAGCATCTTCCCCCTGTCCTCTCGGGTGTTCAGGGATAAAGAGGCATTGGTAATGCAGGTCTTTTGAAGGAAAAGAGGGACATGTTTGCTTTGGGTCTGCAGCCAAATGCCATTCTAAAGAAGGAATGTGCAGAAAACCAGCCTGGACTGGCTTCAGAAATGATTTGGAGCGGCTCTGGCTTTGTTCAAGGGCAAGTGTTTCTTTTCCCTCTGTGCACAGTAGGCAAAGCACAATTGACCTCAAGGAGGAGTAATAATTAAAGGGATTCTTCATTTTATTATCTTCTCAAGGTGTCATCCCAAACTCAAAGCGAGTGGCATCTCACTGTGTCCACACCCCTGAACAGGTGTGTGCAAATCAGATCATCATAAACAGAATCACTCCTGAGACATTGGGCTATTTCAAGAATCCCCACAGGGACTCCTCTGGGGGATGATTTCTTTATGAATGAGTCATTCCTTAACTCATCTGATTTGTGAGACTGGACTTGGAGGCAGCTGGCAGTGGACGGTCCTGATCTGCCACTTACTCGATGGCATCCTTGGTCCTGAGCTGCAGATGCTCACCTTTAGATGGGGCCCTGTCTTCCTCACAGAGTCCAGTGGGGCTCAGGCTCACGTCCGAAAGCACCTAGCATGGAGCCTGACCCCGTGGAGGAGGTCAGGACACAAGAAAGAGTGTTCATCTTGAGTTGGTTTTTAGGTTTTTTTGTTTTAAAGCATTTTGTACTAGTGAGATATTTATTGTAGAAAATTTATTTCTCATATTTTCTAACATCTGTAATCTCACCACTTAGAGATCATTATTCTTCAGTTAGCCAGTGATTTTGATCCTACTTCCTATTCAAATAGCGTGCAGTAGACAGAATAACAGCCCCCAAATGTCCACACCCTAATCCCCAGAACCTGTGAAAGTGTCACCTTACCTGGCAAAGGGGACTTTGCCGATGTGATTAAGGATCTTGACGTAGGGAGATTATCCAGGTGGGCTCACAGGATCCTTTGTAAGAGGGAGGCAGAAGGATCAGTCAGATTTAGAGATGCTGTGCTGCTGGCTTTGCAGATGGAGGAACGGGCCACAAACCAAGGACAGCAGGAACGGCAAGGAAACAGGAGGAGCCAGCCCTTCCACTACATAGGCTTTAGCCCCATAAGACCCATTTTGGACTTGTGACCCCCGCAACTATGGGGTCACAATAATACACTTACGTCGTCTTAAGCCATGAAGTATATGGTAGTTTGTTACAGCAGCAGAGGAAACTAAGACCCAGTCCATCCTCTGCTCACCATCTCTGCATTCACAGCTGCAGCCCGGGCTTCTGAGAGTGTGGCAGTGGCCCCTGAAAACCCCTATACTGTCCCTTCAGTCCATGCCGCCCGACAGACTCCCTCACCACCATCCTGGCCTTCACCCATGCTGTCCCCTCAGCCCCTTTTACAAAGCCTTTCTCTGGGGCACTTCCTGCCACCTTCAAGCAACTCCCTTCAGGCTCGCTTCTCAGGCAAGCCCCAGCTGCATTTGTAACCTGAGTGTTTATTATAATGTATGGTCCTTAACCCTGTGAGCTCCACAGGGCCTGGGAGAGTTTCTGGTGGTTCACTTCTGTGTCCGCATCGCCTGGAACAGGGCTCGGCTCATGTGGGTCCTTGAAATATTAATGGAACAAATGAACAAACATATCCTTCCAATTTTTTCTGTACGTGGCGGGGCTGTGCCCTACTTGCTTTGTTTTAACCTGTGTTCTAGACGTATACCTTTACCTAGTGGCTGCATGCTGTCCTGTTGTGTAGATACTTCATAACCAGCATCAGTAACCCCCTCTCCTGGGACTCTTAGGTTGTTTTCTATTTGGAGACCTTTTACACAATGCTGCGATGGCCATCCTAATAATTGGGTGTTGGCATAACCCTGATTCTTCTTTTAGGTTAGGGACTTCTAGTGAAATGTACCCTATGTCTTTGCCACGCATCTCTTATGACTTTAAATGCAGTGTTCTCCAAAGCATTCTCTCTTCTTTGGCTTTGAAATGTGCCTTTGCTGGGAGATCAAGGAAAATGGGGAAGAGAAAGCCATGGCTGGCGCATTCTTTTGTAGCCTTAAAATGGGGTTCAGACGGTGGCGCCCCAAGCGAGCTCAGATACACAGCTTTGCTTGGTTGGATCCTTGCTGTGCTTTTAAAAGATGGAAAACTTACACAGCAATATGAATTCCCACTTCTCCAGGCTGCACTTGCCAGGCAGAGCTGTTCCCTGTAACGAGGGCCACTCCGCTGTACTCACAACTGCCCACCTCCTCCCCATCTCCTTGCTCGGCATATCACCATTTGCACTTGAACCTCTGACTTAATCCCATCCTCTCCCTGGTCTGTCTTACAGGGACATCACCCCTTCCGGAGAACCACCAAACAAGAACAGCCGGCCCAAAGTGGCTTCCCGCTTCCCCAAGCTGTCCCGAAGTCAGCCCAGGGAGACGCGCAACGTGGAGCCCCAGAGCGGTGACCTCTGACCTCAATGGAACCCCAGAGGCAGGCTGTACATGTCACACCAGCTGCCTCCACCCCGGCTACTCTGTTTCCGAACTGGCCACGGCAGCTGGCCCATACATCTTAGGGTGATAACCCTCTTCACCCGGTGAACCCCAGAGAGCACACCTTCCCCACTGGAAACATGACACCCTAATTAAACCGGTCAGTTTCAGAGCCACCATGTTATTATCCCCAGAGCAAGGCGGCTCCTCCTGAATACTGGGACGTGTGGTCACTGCTCTCCCAGGGTCTGCCCTTGGCAGCAGAGGCCACCTGTTCTCCTTCCTCCTGCTCGGGCTGTGAGCCCCTGGTTGAGATGCACAACTCTGAGGTTTCATGTGGTCAGGAGACTCCTTCCCAAGCCACCTCCTGACTCTTTCCTGCGTGGGAATTAGAGTGACTGTTAGCCTCTTTTATTTTTATTTTTTCTCTTTAATGTAATTGACTGTTACAGCCTATGGACAGATGGGGGGTCTTGTTCCCCTCCATTTTGCCCTCTACCAGTGGTTACTAGACACCAGCGGGATTGCTGCCTGGGCTCTTAGAGGCGTCATGCTCCAGGGAGACATTTCCCCATGGCCTTGTGAAGGAGCCACTGCTGGTAGTTAACTTTGGTTCTTGGAGAAGTTCCTCCAGCTCCCCGTGGTTGGCTTCAGGAGGGAACCTGAAGTCACCTAGGCCCGTGTGCACCTTGTCAGGCTTGGAGGGGCTCAGACACACAGCCCAGCCCACAGCATCAGCCTGGTGACCCTGCGTTGGAGAGACTTGGCTCTGGGAACCACAGAAGAAAGTTCCGTCAGCCCTTGGCTTTTCAGACCCAGCTCTATCTCGGTGAACTTGGACACAGCATCTGCTCTGAACAGATCGTGGTTGTCCCCTGAGACACACATTTGCCATGCACCATCTGTCCCCCAAAATACTCTTGTTGGGAGCAGAACCCTGTGCATCCCCCAAGACTCATTCCCCTGTTCCTCCCAGCCTTATCTTGCCCCTGAAGTTCCTCCCGCAGTGAGCCCGCCATGGCCTGGCAGGACCGGAGCTGGGTCGTGGGCGTTAAGCCCCAGGATCACGGAATTGTCTCCTACCCGGTCAGTAGCTGCCTTTGCTGCTGAGTGCAGTTAGGAGTAGTTCACACTTTCTAGGGGAGATATTAAGAAAGTAGATAGGAGGTCATGAACCAGACCATGTAAGAATAAGGTTGTGCGTTCCTCTCTGACCGACGCAGGTAGAGTCATAGGGAACTGAGGGTGGAAGGTGATGTTTGGAGGGCAAACCTCGACTCATCCTGCAACTGCTTCAGTTCACTGGCTTGAAACTTGGTGGATGACCTAAATGAGCGTGGCGCATTTCCTAGCTACAGGAAGACTGGAAAGAACCACCTGGAAGATTTATGCGGTGTGATCCTCTAGTAGCCAGAAGGAGACTTCTCAGGGAAGTAAAGGAAAGCTGAGACCATTTACACACAGCCCTGCAGAGAAACAGAGGCTGCCTGGATGCCTTCTGAGAGGCCCTTGGACCAGGTGAGGCAGGACAGGCCTGCTGTTCTTGATGCATGGGAGCACGGGGTAGAGGACCTGAGAGACATCTGGGTCCTAGAAAGGCAATAGGGTCTGCTCCTTGTCCACCAAGGTGGCTGCTGTGGCTGATGACTTAGAGTCTCCTGGACTAAGTAACCAGGGCCTGTCTGGAAGCTTAGGCTGCCCAAGTCCTGCCTCCCTGACGTAGGGCTTCAGTGCCAGCTAGAAGACTCCACACCACCTGATCCTTCTGTTTGCATTTGGTACGGAAGAGGAAGGGAACCTCCCATCTCAGACATCCGCACCCCCGCCCCACCCCAAATCTCCCAGGCTGATGCTTCCCATCTGTGCAGGCCTTTTCTGCACCTGACCTGAAATGCATCTGCACATAGTTTAAAAAGCAAAAAAAGGTACCCAGAGCTACACCAGATAGCTGCTAAGCCCTGAGAAACATGTATATGCCCAGCTGCTATTTAAAAAGCAAGACAAAGTCCGCCTCCCCCTTTTGTGATCATGTAGGAACCCTGGACTCATCTTCAAGGTACAGGCCATCCCCTCTCCTCTTAGCTCAGATGTGCACATGACAGGGACATTACAGCCACTCCCTGTAGCCTTAACTTTGGAATCACGTAGCATGTTCTGCAATGATCTAGTGCATGCAGCTGCTCAAAATCCTCCTGTCCTGCTCTCTGGTGTGGTGAGATGGACTTCAGGCTAAAGAGACAGGCGGCAGACTTCCCAAATGCCACCCCAGGGGACATAGACTCAACTGCCCTTCAGCCCAGGTCCAGTTCTGAGGACCTGCTGTCTTCCTCCCGCTGAACCACCTGCCCAGCCCGCGTGACCCATCAGTGGAAAAGACATCCCTGCGGAAGGGAGCTGCCAAAGCTCACCTTTGTCTCCTCGATCCAGTAAGATTCTTTGGGGTCTCCAAAGTTGGCATCGGACAGAGGAAGCCCTCCCCATTCAGAGAAACCAGAGGGGCCTGGGCATCTAGTCCCACCTCTACTGCGAGGCAGAATCCACTCTGGGTCCTTTCATCTAAGAAAAACTGTATCTTCATGGTCTGCTGTAGCAAGAACCCACTGCACAGCATCAGGTTTGGTCCCTGCTACCATCTCCTTTCTTTTTTTTCCTTTTCCCCCAGATGAAACACTCAGGAAAGGTAGGCCTGGGCAGAGATGGCTCTCCTTAAAAGAGAGAACTAAAGCGTCCAGGAAGGGAGGTGAAAGGCTGCTGTGACCCTAGCCCAGAAGTGATTCCTGACTTGGGAGAGAACAGTCCCAGCCGGCTCTTCTGGACTCAGTCTGAAATTTCAGCTGGACACAGCTGGTTCCAGCTCCTTCGAATCTCATTCCCGGGCACAGGCTGCTCATGTTACTGACAAGGAATCACAGAAAGCAGAGCTGTGGGTTAAACTACCAGCATTTCTGTACAGTCAGGTCCTGGAGGAGGAGAAGACTTTCACAGAAGAGGCTGGTACAGCCCATGGTGGTGGCCACTTAGCCAGTAACCAGGCACATCCAAGGGCTTCCTGGTCAGCAAAGGGATCAACAGATGGAGTTAGAAGAGGAGACGGTCTTTGAGATCCGGCAGGAGGCACGCGCCCCGAGGGGAGGGATGGGGATGAGATCTGACTGCAGCACTTGGCTCTGCTTCACGTGTGGAGCTTATGAACATGAGTTCTTTGAAATTTTAAAGCAGCGGCAGGTTGTGTGGGTGCTTTTAAAATTTCGAGGCAATTGAAAGCCGTTTACATCATCAGTTGATAACGCAGCTGTACCAACAGGCAACAGGCACAGGAGGCCCAGTAATTACTCCTCAGGCTTTCGGCCCAGAGTCAGGGAACAGGAACGAAGACCTGCCGGCCTGCCCAGTTCATCAGACGCAGCGCTGCCTTCTGCAGGAGGCTTAGCTCCTGCCACCCTGAACCAGGGCTCTGCAGCCCAGGCAAGCTGGTGACTGTCTCTTTTCCCACCAGGGGTGCAGCTCACTGTGTGCAGCCCAGACACCCTCTGGCCCCTCACCTGGAGGTCCTGGCACTGTTCTTTGTCCCCCAACCATCTCCAGAGTCCTTCCTTCCTCAGCCTGGCTCCTCAGTGCAAGCACCAGCCTCTGTTCAGGTGTGGCTCTCCACTCCAGAAGCATCTTCTGGGCTTGGCCTGTAACAGATGGCAAAGGGCTGGATGTGCAACTCCTAGGACCTGCCAAGGGTCCCCCCTCCCCCCCGCCCACCCCACTCCTACTGGCCAGGAGGCCTCCCAGAAGGGGCGTGGCTTACAGCCAGGTTGCAACCCCAAAGGCAATAACTGTCTTGAGTTTTCCTCGGTGTTTCACTCCTGACGATACCGCGCACTCCGGGCCTTTTCCCCAGCCTGGAGGCTGTGACTCAGCAGACACGGGCTGTTTCCAGAAGCAGGCGCCTGCTTATGAGCAAGGTCTATTGTCACGAACAATTTTCAAAATATTGTGCATTATTTCATTAAAGCTAATGTTAAATATTTGCTGTTCAGATTGGCGTCTGTGCTAATTTTGCACAATTGTAGCACTGTATATTTTATCTAGCATTTCTGTGCCAAAAAGTTCATTTTAATGTTTTGGTAACCCACAGTCTTGACTATGTTTCTAAAACAGAACTGCTACTGGATCGATAAGAACGAAGGTGGAGCACGGAAGGTGTCCTGGCCCCAAACCACCCAGATCCCAGTTACTAACGCACCTGCGCAGTTCCCCTCTAATGTTTCTCTTTAGCCGTGAGCCTCCGCCATGTCATGGGCCTGCTTTTGGCAGCTCTAAATTCTGTCATGGAGCCCTTACTTTTTGTCCCTAAATTTGAACGACCAACTTGAATGGGCTTCCCTACCCCCAAAGTTTTTAGGGACATGAAATAAAAATCTGGTTTTTCTAAATAAAAGATGGTTGAGCCAGTAACATGGATAAACATTCCACTAGTAGATGCTAGATTCACTGGTATTTTGAGGTCCAGGGGTTCATTTCTTACTGGTACGTAAATGTTTTTCCATCCTCATTGGAAGACCGCTACCCGACTCGCCTCAGCTCCACCTTCCCCTTCAATTAATTTAAATGAACCTTGAACTTGCTCAGTTTCCTGCCTTCGTGATCTGCAAGGGGAAAGCCTGCTTGTTCACTGTTGAGGATTCTTTTCACCGTCAGCATAGGGCAGAGAGGGCGTGCCCTCGCAAGAATTAGGACTGAGGACACACAATGGCAGACAGCACATCTGCAGCCAGAGTCACTAAGCACACAAGGGATGAGCCCAGAGACCATGAATTTCCAGGAGTGGGGAGGGAGCCAATTAATTAGGATTTTTATGATCTAGGATTCATTCTAGAAAGAATGTCTTTACCTCTGCAGCCCTTAGGTAGGTCGCTTTACTAAACTCATCCACACAGACTTCTTGGAGTGAGTCTTTTGAATGCGGGAGTGATGGAATCCCAGCTTTGAGGCTCCTGGCCAGAGTTTCCCATGGTTGGTCCCAGTGAGCCGGCTGCCAGGGGGTCAGAAGGCCACGGACCTAGAGTCTGAGGTAGTCTGTCTGTAAACAAGGCCTAGAGGTCGCAGATACGCTCAAACATGTAGTATTAACTACCGTCTTGCGTTAAGGTTTACACGATAGGATTTTTAAACAAATGTGTTTAATTTTCTAAGCTCTCTTGTATTAAAATTTTCTTTTGGAATAAGCTGTGGTAATTTTGTTACAATCCGGTTGAGATAAACCTCTTTACAATAACAAAATAAAAATGGACACATTTTATAAGTTAGGTGCTCAGTTTATGGTCTGTTTCTTTGTTATTTTTCCACGATGGGGAACTTAGATGAACTTTTTTTTTTTTCGTGACCAGTAAGGGGATTGCAACCCTTGGCTTGGTGTCGCCCACACTGTGCTCAGCCAGTGAGCGCACTGGCCATCCCTATATAGGATCCGAACCTGCAGCCTCGGCGCCCCCAGTGCCACTGCGCTCCCAGTGCCGCACTGTCCCGAGTGAGCCACGGGGTCAGCCCTAGATAAATTTTTAATATACATGTTATGAAAGCTTCCAGAAAGGTCATTCACCATTTCACATGATCTCCTAGACAACAGGATTTGATTGGACTAATACCAATTTTATTTTCATTGAAATGGAACAAAATCCCATGCTGAGTTAATCATATTATCAGGCAGCTCTGGATAAACTGGAGATGGAGAATCAAAACTACATTCAAAAAACCACCCAGAAACTCCTCATTACAGCTTCCTTCACTCATAAGAAACAGTTATTAGGCACCTCCTGTATACCAGATGCTGGGCATACAGCAGTGAACAAGACATATAAGGTCCCTACCATCTTGGACTTACATTCCAGGTGAGGTGGACAGACAAGATTTTTTTAAATAGATAAATCTATTAGATCTATTAATAGATAACTACAGATAATTACAAATTGCAGTAAATATTATAAAAGAATAAACAGGAATTGGAGGAAAGAAACGGGGCTGAGTATCTACTTTAAACAGTCTAGGCCAGGGTTTTTCAACCCCAGCACTACTAATACTTGGGGCTGGATAATTCTTGGGGTGGGGGAGGGGCCCTGTCTGTGCACTGTAGGATGTTTAGCAGTGATCCTGGCCTCCACCCACTAGCTGCCAATAGTGTCCCTTCATGTGTGACAACCAGAAATGTCTCCAGAAATATTTGTGTGGGGATGGGGGTGGTTGAAAACCATGGGGCTAGGACACAGGGTCCTTCCTCTTGGCCAAAGTGACATTTAAGCTGACACCTGAAGAATGAGAAACACTACACAGCCCTCCCCTCCCCAGAGTAATTTACCTTGGCTTAAAAATCCATACCATATAGCAAGGTATGTTCCATTTTTAATCTAATTGTGGTAACTGAAGAGAAGAAAGCATTCACAGGGTGACAAGAAAAACGCAGGCATAAGGTAGCTTCTCAAAGCCCCACAGAAGGGTGGATGTCATTGCACGCAGACCTCAGAGCCCAGTGTAGCAGGAGCGGGGCAGACACTGACTTCAGAGGGGTCTGATGTGATCACCGAGCCAGTCCCCTGCAGCCCCCTGCATAGTTTTTTTTGGTGACTGGCTGGCAAGGGGATCAAACCCTTGACCTTGGTGTTATCTGCACCACACTCTCACCACTAAGCCAACCGGCCAGCCCGGCTGAGTTCACGCTTGCAGCAGCCCAGCCAGGTCGGCACCTCATCCTGCTTTTGAACAGCCGAGTAAGCTGAGTGCTGGCCTGCCCAAGGTCACCCAACTCAAAGGTGGGGTAGAATCAGGGGGGATTGTTTCCACCAGGCCACACCCTGGGCTGTCCCACTCCCCATCCACAAATTCCCTGCACATTTTGAGCAGACTCCCCGTATATCTTTGGCCTGTCTCTAGTGACACCACAGCTTTCTGACATTTCCAGGCATGGCTGCCTCCCAGGACAGAATTCCTTGCAACCTTCCCAAGTGCAGGCTGTCCTCCCCCCACTCCCAACCCATTTTCCTCCCCATCCTCTATTTCAAACCACTCCTTAGAAGTAGCCATTCCTTCAAAGCTCAGGCCCTCTTCCTGCCCTGCCCTCTGCCCCCCAGCTTGGCCTCTGAGTTGTTGCTCCCTCCCCAGGAGCTTTCCCTCTGTGCCCCGTCCAGACCTCATTACCCTAGTGACCCTGCAGCAACAACCCTTCAAATCCATCAAGACCTCAACCTTTGTTTTTCCTTAATTCTGTCCTCCCATATTCTTGCCAACTCTCTCCTGCCCAGCTCCCTTCCACACAGCTGGGACCCCCTGCCCCCTTCCCCACTTGCCTGGCAAGACCCAGCCCCAGCCAAGCCCGACACTCTGCCTACTGTGTGCCCACACCAAGCTGTCGCCCAGCGCAGGGGTAACTCCCACAAGCCCCGCACTCTATTGCTGTCCTCCCGCCACGCCGGCTGCCCCTGCTCGGTGGCCTCTGTTGGGTCCTCCACTGCCTTTGTCCTTTGTCCTTTGTCCCGCCTTTGTTCCACATGCCCATTCCAAGTGGCCCCTCCATGTGCTATCAGTGCTGTCCAACAGAAATATCATGAGTCAGAATACCACTTAGAACTTTCTAGTAGCCCCATCTAAAGTATAAAAAGAGAGCTGGCTGGTCAGCTCAGTTGGGTAGAGCATGGTGCTGATAACACCAGGGTCAAGGTTTCCATCCCTGTACTGGCCAGCAAAAAAAAAAATGTGAAAATTACAGTAGTAATCCAATACATCCAAAATATCATTTCAACATGCAATCAATATTTTAAAATGTCTTGAGATATTTCACATCTGGGGTACCAAGTCTGCAAAATCTGGTGTATATGGTACACTTACTACACATCTTGACTTGCACCAACTGCATTTCAAGTGCTTGGTGGCCCATAAGACTGGTGGCTTCTGCACTGGACGGTGCAGCTCTGTGATCCTGTATGTCAGCCTCTATCTCACCCCTGAACGTCAGTCTCACATCCAGCTGCCCAACACCCCCATCTGCATAGCTTAGTCAGCAGCTCACACTGAACCACAACCATCTCCTGGTTTTCTCCCCCAAACCTGCTCCTCCTCATGACTTTTCCCAGGTGAGGAAGTGGCAACTCTGTTTTACCAGCTGCCAAGGCCATGAATTCTTGACACTTTCCTCTCCCCCACTCCCATCTATTTGACAAATACCCTTTGAAACAGGTCTCAGATCTGACCCCTTCCAGTGCCCTCCAGCCCCAGTGGCACCTGCTGGCCTGAGCTGCTGTTGTCCTGCGTGCTGAGCACTGAGTACCGCGCCCCTGCCCCACTCCAGCGCCGTCGTTCAACTGCTCTCCACGCAGCTGCCGGTGTGGCCTTGAACATCAGTTCATGTCACCCCCTTGCTCACAGCCCTCCCAAAGTCCCCCTTCCTGGTCAGCTCTCCCCATAGTAGACAGAATCGTATTTTAAATAAGTAAATATGATCTTATCGCTCCCCTGCATAAATGCTGCTGTGGAATCCAAACCCTATCAAGACAAATACAACGTTACCAACACCCCAGAACAGTGGTTCCCATACCTGTGCACATTGGGTCCCACCCTAGAGACTCTGATGCCAGCCTTGCTTCCCTGAAGTCACGTGAGCAGAACAGCCACCCCACACAATGCCGCCATGCACACCCGGGCTCCAGCAGCCTCCCCACTGCCCGTGATCCTGATTACTCCTCCACGGAGCTCCTCACCTCCCACCACAGTGTCGTCGTCTCCCCCGCTAGGACCTAAGCTCCAGAGGGCAGGGCCCTCACCTGGCATTTTGTTCTTACCTGAATCCCAGCTTTTGGAACTCTGTGCCATACCATAGATGCTTGGGAAATACTTGTTAAGCAAACATAAAAGAACATATTTCACCTTTGTTAACTCAATGTCCTAAACCTTTGTGTGTTTTTGTTTCTGTTTTACTATCTCACATGCCATTTGGATTGATGGTTAAAGCAAGAGTTTTGGAGTGACTAGGACTTGACTCTAATCCTGACTCTGACTTCTTAGCTATAGGGACTTAGGTCAGGCTCCTGCCTGCACCTCCGTTTTCTCATCTGCTAAAGGGACACCTGGCCCCAGATCGACTGTGATAAGTGTCTAGCCCTGTGCAGACTCATCATAAGGGGCCAGCCCTGTCATTCTTCTCTGGGCCACTCATTCATTCAAGAGACATCCATTAAGGATGGTGAAGGCTGCAAAGATAATTCAACCTGCAGGCTTCTTAGTTCATGGTTTGGAGGTGAGATAGCCAGAAGGATGCAGGTGGTGGAGTCCTTTGGTCAGTTCATCCTGGAGCCCTAGTTTCCCCTAACGGAATATAAGTCCCCACCCAGGTGAGACTGCAGGGAGAAGGTGTGGTAACATCCGTGGGGGAGTCAGGCATGTCGTAGGTCTTTAGAGACTGACAGTCCCCACCCTCGTCTTTCCTCCACGGGACTTGTTAATTCACTGCAAAGGGGTGAGGGGGTGGGCTGTCACTGCATCTTGTCCTGAGGGTAGCCTCAAAGCACTTCCTGATAATAAAAGTCTTTGTGCTCTTGCTTGAGCAGTTTGGGTTCTGAGGACTCTTCTCTGCACGTGTGAGTAGCTGGTAATGAAGACAGTATTGTGCACTAACCTGGGCCTCTGTGACCTGGACAGACACACCCTGGATGCAGCCTGGATTCTCCATGTTGGCCCCAGTGCTTTTCCAGGAGTACATCTGTGTGACCCATGTGTGACAGACTGAACAATAGCCCCAAAGATGTCTACATCCTAATCCCAGGAATCTGTGACTGTGTTACCTTACATACCGCAGAGGGTTCAAATAGCCTCCCCCCAAAATTCATGTCTACCCAGAACCTGTGAATGTGGCCTCATTTGGAAATAGTCTTTGCAGATGTAACCAAAATGAGGTCATATTGATTAGAGTGGGCCTTAAATCCAATACCTGGTGTCCTTAAAAGAGGAGAGAAATGTGGACACACCCATGCAGAAGGCATCTCCAAGCTGAGGAACGCCACGGATTGTTGACAGTCCCCAGAAGCTGAGAGACAGACAAGGAGCAGATTCTCCCCCTCAGCCCCCAGAAGGAACCAAGCCTGCTGACACCTTGATTTCTGACTTCTGGCCACCAGACTAGTGAGAAAATAAATTTCCATTGTCTTAAGCCACTCAGTGTATGGTCATTTGTTTCAGCAGCCACAGGAACTAATAATACACACCGTAAAGTGGACTTCACAGATGTGGTTACATTAACGATCTTGAGCTGGGGAGACTAGCCTGG